CTGGATTTGGTCCAATCCGATCCAGTCCAATGTGAGCCCATTACAAATGGGCCAGGTCCAATTCAATCCAATAACTATTTTAGACTATTTTGGACCAGTCCAATTCAATGTTTGGAACATCCAATCTGTACAAATTTATATTAATTTAAATTGATTCTAATTCAAATCCAGTCCATTTACACCTATATTATCATTGGACCAGATATTGGCTTAATCCAACCTAATCCAAATAAATTTATTACGAACAGACCAAATCCAATCCAATCAAATAAATATCTTGGACCAAATTGGTCCAATCCAATATGTCTTATTGGTCCATGGAATCCATCCAAATTGATTTTGGACTGGACGGACACCCTTAAATACAAGTCCCAAAATGCCCTCATGGATAGTCCAACTGTCCAATAACAAGTTGGATACTACTAACAGGTAATAGTATTAATAAGAATAAAAGAGAAAAGAAAAATAAAGTGCCCTTGTCAATCAGCCTTGCATTGCCTTGTATCAATTAGGCCCATTTTCTAAGCAAGAGATTTGAGTGATACATGACCAACTAATGAGAGATCTTGCCTCAAATCCCTAGGCAATTAGTTAGGTGGTGTTTGATAAATCTGAAAATTCAGATTTGAAAAGTTAAAAAGATAATTAAATGTGTCTGAAATCTGAAAAAAGGCATTGTTGCTTCTTTACTTTTTAGAGAATCTGAATCCATAAGTTTGTTTGTATTAAATCAACCTTTTACCATCTAAAATGTACTGATGTTACCATTTTGCCCCTAAAACATATAATTTGAAAATGTTGAATTCAATTTACATTATCTCAAAACAATTTTCAACCTCAAAATAATATTGAAACAATACAAATAAAAAAGAATAAATTAATAATTACTAATTAATAAATGAAACAATTAAAATTATAAAAATAATTAATGATTATAAAAATATGAAAATAATTAATAATTTACACAAATAAAAATTTGAATTTTTAAAAATTAATGAAATAATTAAAATTTTCTAGTTAATAAAAATAATTAATAAATTGCATACGTAAATTTAATAAAAATAATTAATGTTTATAAAAAATATTTAAATAATTAATAATTAATAAAAGTATTATTAATATTCATCGAAGTACCGAACTACCACTGTTGCTTGTTGCAGCGGCGGTGGCGGTGGTGGGAAACAGGGGAGAGAGCGAGAGCGAGAAGACAGGGGAGAGAGAGTGCTGCCGCTGGGGGAGAGAGAGAGAAGACAACGACGATGGCGATGGCAGTGGCGGTGGCATGGGGGAGAGAGAGCCACCCCTGCAAGTTGTAGCGGCGGTGGTAGGAAGACAGGGCAGAGAGAGAGAGCGAGAGAGAAAGAGAGGTCAAATGTTTTTTGGGTTTGGAGGTATCGGGGGTAACTCGAGTCATTTAAGAAAAACCGTAAGGATATTTTGGACATTGGGCTGGCTCTGAAATGCGTCTGAGCACATTAAGAATTGGCCCAATGTCTATGATTTTTAGATCTGAAAATCAGTTTCAAACACAGTTTAAGAGGTACAACCAAACAAGTGGTGAGGTCTGAAAAGTAGCATTTTTAGATTCAGACCTCTAAAAAGTGTAATCAAACGGCACCTTACTTGAGCTTATGAATTGTGATGCTTGTGTTTTATCACTCATGAATCAATATTGGATTCAATGCTCATAAGACCATGCTTACACCGTTTTCACAGCTTTTTACAGCCATATGTTGGATATATTTCGGTACTTATATGTTTTTTTTTCATGGTGAGATATTCCCAATGCAAGGCACTATACTAATGGTATTAGTATGGTCTTGTGAGGACCAAGTTTAAATATCTCAATTTAACCATAAAGAGTTTTATTGTCAAATTACAATTTATACTTGTCCTTTGTAAATAATGGTGTCAATGGACCAGTTTTTGATTGGACCCCATCCAGTTCAAAATTAAATTGGACGGACCCATAAGACATATTGGATTGAAGCAATCTGGTCCAATGTATTTATTAGAATGGATTGTACCTGGTCCATCTATAATAAATTAATATTGGATGGGTTTGGTTTGAAATCAATTTAAATCAAAGCAAATTTGAACAAAATTTGGATGGTCAAAACATTAAATTGGACCAATCCAAAACGATCGAAAATATTCATTGAATTGGACCTGATCCATTTATAATGAATTCACATTGGACTGGATCGGATTGGATCAAATCCAGTCTAATTGACATCCCTCTTTGTAATTGGGTCTTATCAGGCCAGACCAAATCGTCCCGATTATATACCCTGTTTTAGAACTGGGACACACATTTACTTGTTGGGTTGGGATCAGGTTTACCTTCAAATAATCCAAACCCGACCCATTTATTCCACCAAGTCTGGAATCGTTTCCAGCGTCCAAATTTGCTGACAGCACAATATCAAGCTACAGTGCTACATAGTGGGTTCTACCAATCAAAGAAAAAAAGGAAACAACAGAAAAATGTGGGTTCCAGTTACATTAAAAGATGTGGAGACACAGATCACGTTGGAAAATTATTTTGTTATGAACAGATCCGGGGCCCCCTTTTTCATAGAGCGAATAGTATTATTTTTCTTTTTAAAATTCTCTTAGGTTGAATTTGAAGCCCCCACTCCTAAGTCCTAAATCCTAATTGAGTTGGTTGTAAAGCATACCATGTAAAGAGGCAGTAGTAAGCAGGCTTCCCACGTATTATCGATGGTAGACTTGTTTATGATTCGGGTAGTCCCATTGGCTAGCCCAGCCCGATCCATTTTTTATTAGACTTTAACATAGTATTTGGGCTCAGGATTTCTCAAATAAGCCCAATTCGAGCCTACACCGTAGGTGGAATTTTGTCTATCTAGATTCTAGATCAGGCTTTGGGCTTTATAAAAGGGCCGGGCTGATTGCTGTAGCACTTGTATTGTTCTTGTATAACGCCTCAAATAGTTGTGGAAAGATCTATCTCTTCTTCTTGAGATGCTTCAACAGTGCAACATCTTCAATTTTTTTTTTCTCACTAATGAGGTGTTGTTGATTCAGGTGGTGACATTGGTTCCTGTTAGGATTTGGCAAAAGCACAGAAGCCCCTGTGGCTGAGTTGAAAGTTAATAATGCCTAGAGAGGTATAATAGTCTCTAATATGGGTTCTATTTCATTGTTTGAGACTGTAACAACCACATATATTTCAATCTCAAAGGCTGTGTTTGTATTTTGAGTCACATAAGAACTCTTTGAAACTTCTGTGGAGTTTTAAAGCTGCAAATCATGTTGCAGTTCAAGGCCTTACCTCATCATCCTAAGATTGCTTCTTGCCTTCTACTAAATAAGTAGATTAGAAATGCAACTGGGTCTCATCAATGTTCTGGAACTGGAAGATGCAATCAGATGTTCAGATTGGTCGGGAGTGGTGGGATATCATTGAGAACTGGAAGATGCAACCAGTAACAGTAACAGTCAGTCTTGAAAACAGAGTTGCACAAATCCTTTTTGCTGTGTATAGGGTTGCACAAATCCAGAACCATATTGGGATCTCTTGACATCCATTGAAATTTGGTTTCAGAACAGAGTTACTGATCATAAGATGTGATTAGCCAAGCATTAGATTTGCCAATAGATCATAAGATGTGATCAGAACACAAACCGAGACAGAGAGTTCAATGAAAATAAAAGAAACTGAGAGAGAGTACATTTCTTCAACTGAGTGTTGTTGACATTGCAGCAAGGCAAGTTTGTTTCGCTGTGGTTCGGTTGTATTGGCTGTAAGTCTAAGCAACTGCAGTAAAAGCTGACTGGAAATTATCTCCAATGATGCTTGATCTACGGCTTATTGAAAGCTCTCAATTCTCAATGATGATCCCTGTGTGTCAAATCAACCTTGCAGGGAACAGTGGTAAGTTTGTCGTTATCCACCTCTAACGGCTACTTGAATTCCAAATGCCATGAGAAAGGACCGAGTGAAGGATAGGATCCTACTTACTACTTCCTACTTCCTACCACAGGTCTACAGCTGTGTAATGTAAATGCGGCTTTCTAGAATGCAATCTGGAAAAGCTGCAAATAAAAGGAAAAAGCCACCATGATAGCTGGGGGTGCCGGGGTGGTAATGGACTTGGGCTCCGTTGGGCCATACAAGGCGGGAACAGGGAACTCTGAACTCTCCTTTGTACTGTGCATTCGATCTAGCCAAGGATGGGCCCACAGGACAGGAGGTCCCTATCTATGCTTTTGATTTGGAAAGCGGAAAGGTCCTCCAGACAGACGGATCATCTCGTCGCTGGATGATGACCGACTGGGGCCCACCAAAGCTTTTGAGCGTTATGGTGGTGCGCTCAACAGCTCCATTTGCCACATTTTTGGTGACTAGTCCCTTGACTTGGGGTGGGATGGGACCCACCTTCATTGAGGAATACATGATTAATGATTTTATCCTAATTTTCTATTTTCATTTTTTATTTATAATATTGTTTATACTTTACAGCCGATCATACGTAGTAATAGGTGGAATCCCATTTCGGACTGGTGGGTCCGTTTTTTCTTTTTTTGAAAAAAGATAAGAGATCCACATCGGTTTCGGGTTCCGGTGACGGATACTAGTTGCCCCTGCCTTTGATACTGGATCCGATTGTGTTGAAACGTCACACCCGGAAATTTGGCTTAAGTTTCCGTATAACATCACCGTCCATGACGAGCAAAAATAAAAGATGATTGCTCGGTAGTCGGTCCCACCCATCCCCTGATCGCAGAAGGCAGAAGCCGCAGAACCGCAGAAGGGAATCTTGCAAGGGTGATAGAGGCAAGCATATACGAGGATCTGGACCATATACGATGTTCCCAGATCCCAATTGAGCGTACGGTCAACGCAGATTAAATCCAACGGTGCAAAATGATGCCATTATGGAACGCTAAGTAAAATCGGTTCAAATTCAAATGGACGGCTCAGAGAGTCGCGTCAGCTTAAAGCTACGTGAAGGAACATTAGGGATCCTTTAACTCTGATCCTATAAAAACCCAAAAACCTCTCTTCCCTTCTCGCTCTGCGATTTCCATCTCTTTCGGCAGCAATCTCATCTCCATCTCATCGCAAACAATCTTTCACTCTGTCTACTCTACTCTACAGAAAGTCTCTCAAAAAATGGTGGTTTCCGTTTTCGTCTTGATTTTTTCTTCTCTTTGCTTCAGAGTTCTCTCCATAGTCGCTAGGGTTTTAGCTCCTCTAAGCTCTCATTTTGCGGTTATTTACATTCTGTTTCTTCTTTTGTTTTTATCTTGTCATGCAGGCTCTGCCGAACCAGCAGACTGTTGATTATCCTAGCTTCAAGCTCGTGATCGTTGGTGATGGTGGAACAGGTATTCTATTTTCGATCAAGTTTCACTTGATCTCTTTTTATTGTATTATTTTTACTTATAGCCGGAGGTTTTCTTGCTCATACTTAGGTTAGGACGATTTCGATTACGATTGCCTTGATTAGGCTGAAAGTGTTTTCTTGATGCAGGAAAAACGACCTTCGTGAAGAGGCATCTTACCGGAGAGTTTGAGAAGAAGTATGAGCGTAAGTATCTTTTTCTTTTATCTTCCCTATACTTTCACTTTAGTTTGAAAATCGTTGCATGTTTTTACTTTATCTTATTGTTTCTTTTATTGGGAATAGCAACTATTGGAGTCGAGGTACATCCTTTGGACTTCTTCACAAATTGTGGAAAAATCCGATTTTATTGCTGGGACACAGCTGGGCAGGAGAAATTCGGAGGTCTTAGAGATGGATACTAGTAAGTAATTACTTTGTAGCCAGTGTATATTTGGCTTGTCAAAAATTCTTGTATGACACAAGATATATAGTAAATGGAAAATGTATCATGTACCTTTAAGCTAACTGTGAGGTAGACTACGAATGGGATTACTAGATTACTTCCATTAACTCTAATGCCAAATTATACGTTGTGGTTGTCCTTCTGTTTTCTGTTGCCCATTTGTGATTTGCTAACTCTATCAATGTTTTTGTTTTTTTTTAGTAGTTTGTGTTTAATGCCTATTACGCTGTAAGTATCAATGTATATATATTTGGCTTGTCAAAAATTCTTGTATGACACAAGATATATAGTAAATGGACAATGTATCATATACCTTTAAGCTAACCGTGAGGTAGACTACGAATGGGATTACTAGATTACTTCCATTAACTCTAATGCCAAATTATACGTTGTGGTTGTCCTGCTGTTTTCTGTTGCCCGTTTATGATTTGCCAACTCTAACAATGTTTTTTTTTTTTTTTTTCTAGTAGTTTGTGTTTAATGCCTATTACGCTGTAAGTATTTTATTCAAGGATTCCTCAAAACAAAAAGATGTTCTTGATATGAGTGGATGTAATAAGGAATTTCTACTGGAATATGACATCATGTTTTTCCAATCCTTCCCCTTTCCTTACCCAATTTATCTTGGCAAAGGGTTCCGTAGATATGCTCAGTAAGGTTGTATGGTGGATATGTTATTTTTTTCGAAACAGATCTCTTGTCTTTATAACTCAAAACATCCTTCATTATTACAGAAGAGCTGTTCTTCTGCTAAATTCTTTATGAGTTCTCTTTGTTGAGTGGAACCAAGCTGTTGAGGGATGTAAATTGGCTTTGTCTTGAATCAAACCAGAAGTCAAATTAATATGTACTATTGGTGTTCAAGTATTGAAAAGAAAGTTGGGTGCCCGATTTGATGAATTTACACTGATTAGGCCACACCTTTTCAAAGTTAAATTTCTCATAATCTAGTTACATAATTATATTGGATTAAAACAAGGGGCCATGTGGGAGTTCAATTCTAGTTTCCTTTGTCTTGCTTGATTTTTGTGAATTGACCAAATATTCTCTTTGCTAAATGGTTTGATTAAGAAATATGCCACTTGCTAAAATGTTAGTCTCTGTTGATTGCTGCTGTTTTTATTTTGCATTTCGTGATTCATATAAGCTGTAGTGGTCAATGTATTGACATTCAATATAAGGATTGCAGAGGTAAGGCCAGCGATATAAAAGGCGTCCCTAGACACACAGATGAGGCATGCGCCTGGTGCACTTGGGCATGTGCCTGGTGCACCCTTTTTTGAAATCTGCGAATTTTGATTTTTTTAAGCCTTGTTTCTGGGCTGACCCAACCAAAAGCCCCTTGAGGCATGTCCAAACTTGGGTCTTAAAATTCTTAATCCCTGAAAAGCAATTTTGTAATTTTAATTATGTTTTAAAAATAGATTTTATTAGGAGAAATGAACGAACAACTTTAGCAAATTGGAGGCTTGGAATTTTAAGACCCTAACTTGGACTTGTTTGGGTTTGCCTCCAGGTAGCTTTAGTGTTTTAAAAGCACAAGGTGCAAGGCGAGGCTTACAATTTAAAAAAAAAGCTAAAAATTCAAAAAGAAATAAAAAATGCAAAAAAATAAAAAAATATAAAAAATATAAAACATAATATAATAAAATATAAACTTAAGTTTTAAAATAAATGTTTTAAAAACCTATTATCTAAAATTAAAATACATAAATATAATATGTAAAGCATATTCAAATGAGAATTTAAAAATGAAATCAGACATGTAAAACATTTTCAAGCATATAAAACCCACAATCTCCTTTTTTTCTCAATTGCATCAAGTAGCTAATGTGCCATATTACATTCCTAATTCTACGAGCCGCCTTTGTGCCACGTCCCTTGAGGCAAAACCCAAACAAGTGCATGTTAGTGTCTTAAATTCTTTGTTTTCACACAAAAAATAATAATTTTATAGTTTTAATTGCTTTTAAGAAGATATTTTATTAGGATGAATGAATGAACAACATTACCAAATAGGGTATTTTTGAAGCTTCTTTGAGCGAGGGCTAAGGCGCCAGACTCAAAAAAAGGAAACAGTGGCAAATTTTCAAAAGGTGCACGCTTGGGCTAAGGCGCAAGGTGCACCAGGCGCACGCCTAGGCACACCAAGCATGTGCGCCTTGCCTGTGTGCCTAGGCATGCCTTTTAAATCACTTGGTAGCTTGTAGAATCAGAAATGCAAAATATTTGATATCACAACTATTTTTTTCTCAATTGCATCATGTTATGTTTAGGTATTTTAGTTTTAGAAAATAAGTTTTTAAAGCGTTATGTTTTAAATTTAAGTTTATATTTTTAATTATTATTATGTTTAATGTTTTTAAAATTTTCCATTATTAATTTTTATTTTGAAAATTTATTTTTTTATTTTTTGCATTTTTGTGCCTTATGTGCCTTGGGTGCAAAATGCTTGTTGCGCTGTTAAAACACTGGGTAGGAAGTTTGCTGTGGCCTGATCGTTATAATTTTTTTTATTTGCAAAATTACCTTGTCATCTACTTGTATCAATAAATGAAGACCTTGGCATCCCAATTTTTACGTCTTACATTAAAAAATTACTTTCTTTTCAAGGGTATCAACAAAAGGTATACACCATTACAATGGATAGAGGTGGAATTTATTAAAAAGCATCTAAATTAAAAAAAAACATTTTCCACAAATTTGTCCATGCAATTAAAGTGGTATTTCTAAAAAAAATCTATATCCTGCTTTTTTCCTCAGTTTTTTATTATTATGATTTTTTGAATGGTTGCATTGAGATTTTTTGTTTTCTTTTTTTTACGACCTTTTATGTATTTATCAAATTTTCATATGCTTGTTTCTTGTTATTTTGTTCTTGTATTGAATCTACAAAGCTGTGTCATACTGTCGGTAATGGTAGCGGTTTTACTTTTAATGTCTTTTAGTCCTGTGTGCTTAAAAATGATTATCTGCCATGCAGCATCCACGGACAGTGTGCTATTATTATGTTTGATGTCACTGCTCGGCTGACATACAAGAATGTTCCTACATGGCACCGTGATCTGTGCCGGTGAGTGAGAATATATCCAAATTCTTTTGCCCTTTTCTTTTTCATCTTTAATCTTTGTTTAAAATGGCCTTTGTCCCATTCTTGATTATGTTTCTAAGTGCTGCTTTCAATGGTGACAATTACAGTGTGTGTGAGAATATCCCAATTGTTTTGTGTGGAAACAAGGTCGATGTCAAGAACAGGCAGGTGAAAGCAAAGCAAGTTACATTTCACAGAAAGAAGAATCTCCAATACTATGAGATTTCTGCAAAGAGCAACTACAACTTTGAGAAGCCCTTCCTCTATCTTGCCAGAAAACTTGCAGGGTAATGGAAGAATATTTCAATAATTGTTGAGTTCATTTTGTGATATCTCAACTGATGAAATAAAATTATGATCATGCAAGAAATGGTACAATGTTCATATTGTCACATTGAAAATTGTTTTGGTGGTATAGGGATCCTAACCTTCACTTTGTTGAGTCTCCTGCTCTTGCTCCTCCTGAAGTGCATATTGATTTGGCAGCCCAGCAACAGTAAGTTTTCCATTTTACCTATCTTATTGCCGTATCTAGTGGAAGTGCTATCTAACTTGCTAGTAAGGTCTCACTCACTGGTTGTACATTATTGGGATTTTTGGGATTGAATCCCGCCTTCACTGGGATTTGGGGTTTGGTCTACTCCCTTATTGGGGTGGGGAATCAGTAATAAAGTCACATGGACAACACATACCACAAAAAAAATATGCATCCAACAGGCAACCCCCAAGAAGCATATAGGATGCATCCGACATCCAACAACAAACCCCCACTACACTAGTGTTGGATTTAGGTGTAAACATAATTCTATTATTTTGTTGTGTTTCTAACTTTGCATATATTTGGCGGTTGTTACAGGCACGAAGCTGAGCTTGCTGCAGCGGCTAGTCAGCCTCTTCCCGATGATGACGACGATGCTTTTGAGTAAAGCGAGTGTAGTGCCAGTGGTTTCAAAGTTTTATTGGCCTTCTGTCGTGTTTCATTTTGACTTTTGTTATGAATTTTACTTCCTAATTTTCTTAAATATAAATGAGATGATGAATGCTTTGTTCTTCAGGATCGTGTCAAATGTTGAGGGTGGTGCATTCTATAAGGTTCAGGGGGATTTTCAATCGGAGGGAAGGAACCAATGTCTTTTTGAGTTAAATGCTTGTAGGTGTTTGAAGAATTCTTTGTTACCGGGACGAAAACCACATAAAAGAAAAAAAAAATCAATTTGAGTAATACTGCATTGGTTAGACCTTTGGCCGACTTTGCTTCCCGTATCAATCGATATACAAGTAGTTCATTGGATAAGTGTTCAACAGTTCAAGTTTGTTATTGCGAGTCTCAAAATCGACTTCTGCGGCTAGGCCACAACCTCTGCATCCATTATAGAAAGTGTGGTGTGGATGTCACACTTTTTTGATTCTATGTATCTTATGTACATAGAATGAATGATATTTATATGGTAAATATTTGAAAATTTTATAATAAATTAATATTAATTAAAAAATATCATTTTTTTATAAAATAAATTATATATCAATTTTTTGACCAAACTTTCCATGAATACAGGGTGGGTAGAGGAACTTGGAACTTATTTTGAGCTTCACACTAGTATGCCACACCATGTGTAAGATTACTTGGTCATTTTTTAAATAATTTATCAATAATGATTTATAAAATGCATATGTATATACAGAAAATTAGGTGAAGTTGGTAAAGGACTTTCAGTATACAAAACCCAGTCAGGCTAGACCATCAGCTCTGGAAGCCAGAATTGATCTTCCCGTGGTCAATCTTAGCTTGACCCAATTGGAAGAAGAAACTTCCCTGGCTTCATGGAGATAGTGAACTAGCTTCTGGAGCTATACTCATACATGAGAGACACATGTGAATATGTGATGTTGCAAGGAAGCAAGATTCACATATCCTTGATATATCACCATGACGTAGGATAAATTGAACGAAAAAAGAACAGAGAAAAATACGTTGAAGATGGCATTTACCTGATAGGAACGATGCCACACAGGATTTGAGATTTTTTTTTTTTTCCGCACCTAATCTTCTTTTTCAGTGGAGGAATGGTGACTACAACTAGAAGCTTGGTAAGAACAGGGCTGTAAGTCGGGTTGGCCTGAGTCAATAGTTTACACTGTTTCGGGTTTGGGCTTCAGGTTGGGCCTATTGAAAAATTGACAAATTCTCAACCTTAACCTGAAAAAGTTGTACCCTTAGGCAAGAAGAAACGACCACGCCAAGTTTGGACGGCATCGGTGGAACACAACAGAGGTTCAGTGGAACAACTTGGAGACTTTCGGCGGAAAAAGTGGTAAAAGATGTAGGGTTATAAAGAGTCCGCATAAAATATATTAGCATTTCCAACCCGTGGACCGACCCCATCCACAAAAAATAGGCGTTGTCGAGAAACTAGAGTATGGATAGGACTGGTCCATGAGATAGTGTGGACCGGTCCCATCTACAGTGAACCGAATGCACTATTCATCTTGTGCATAAACCGAAACGATCCATCCACGAGATGAACACAATTCCAAATGCCACCTAAATATCACATATTTACATGTCAGATAGGGGTGTTCTCGGGTCGGGTTGGGTCGGTTTATTGGGGTTTTCCCAACTGACCTGACCTGGTCGGGTTACCTGAGGTGGAAACCGAAACCGACCCACTAATAGGCCAAACCAACCTGGTCGGTTTGAGTCGGGTTGGGTCGATTTCGGTTTTGCTCCTGTACAAAAGGACACCTAATTGAATTCTAATTGTAATTGCCTAATGGGTTGCCTATTTGGTGTAAAAGATTATACAAAGTTAGAAATTATGATAAATTGCCTATTCTAATTGTAATTGCCTAATGGGCCTTCTAATTCTAGTAGAAGACTATTTATAGTTAAATAGGAAACTACTCAAACTAGGAACTACCGAATTAGTAGAAGACTAATTCGATTCAGGTCGGATTGATTTCAGTTTTCACACAAGAAAACCAAAATCGGCCTGATATATCGGTTTATATATTTGCCCAACCTGAAACTGACCGGTACTGATGAAAACCCGACCGACTCAAGTTGGGTCAGTCTGGGTTGGTCGGTTTAATCGGGTTGAACTTTCTTATGAACAGCCCTAATGTCAGATAATCTCATCTTTGTTTCGACGTCCTTGCGATAGGGTTCTCAGAGGTGCACGATTATCCGATTCAGAGTTCAAAATTCGATTTCATTAAACTGTTTTTTTTGGTGTTACATAATTCACATCATATGAGCTTCTTACAGGCACAGTCGAGATGTTTCATCTTTAGCTCGAGAAAAATTATCTAAATGAAAAGGTCATCTCAATCCCAATTAGTAATCAAGCCATAAAGCTGTTGGTTTTCTAATGCAAAATGAGGCCGAAGATGGTTCGAATGATTCGATTAGCGGACTGAAAACATTGCACCCAGTATAGATTTTGCTTTAAGTTCAATATGGATCGAGTCAATTTTTTTTTTTTTTTTTTGTGAAGCGAGTCAAATCATGTTTTTCAATTGTTGAACTTGAAATAACTCATGAAAAAAATCTTTGCGATGTGTAGGAGGGAGCGAAGGGAGAAATCCCATTTAAGGTGAATATTAGAAAATAGTGGATAATTGTGAAGTACCGCGGTGTCCAATACCTGGTTACATCTTAGGGGGTGTTATTTTTAAGTTCGGATCTCTTGCCTACGAGAACCCTGTTCACGTCTACCAATGACACATTACCCCCTGTGAATTGGGAACATTTCTCCCTGCATAATACTATGTAGAGGATGAGATGTTTTCCATGTATGGCTACGATAAACATGGGCAGGATTCTCATGGGTAGGAGATCCGGATTCGTTATTAACAAGAATCTTATGTTCTTTTTTTAGTTTTATGTGAGAACAATGAAAAGTTTATTTTGTAGGGGTATTTGAAAGTGATACTCATTGAATAAATAACTTTTTCACATAGGAAGAAAGTTGCCAACACTTTAATGGAACAAAAATACCCATTTTAATAATGAATTTTTATGGATAAAATGGTCATTGTCTTATTTTCCTGAGAAATAAAAAAATATGGAATGAAAAAGATATCATGGCGATGAAACTCGAGAAGGTAAAAGGCTTGAAGGTTAAAAGCATGTGCTTCCACCTCCAATTTACTCCCATCACCCCACCTAATGTGCTTTTAAGAGATGATGGCCATGATTGATCGATGAGAACAATTATTTGTCGAAGATAATTTTGCACATTGGCTTTTAGTTGGAGGCAATCGAAATCTGAAAGTTAAAGAAATAAGCAACAAATAGAAGAACATTTCTATGGAAAGAAGGTTGGGTCTGCCACTCTGCTGAGAAAAATAGGGCAAATGTGACTGGGATGAAAAAGATCTCTTAATAAATTAGGGCAAAAATAAAATATCAGCTGGATTATCAAAAAAAGTCGAAATGGACGGACCAATCCAAGTTTCGTATAAAAATAAAAGATAAAAGAAAATTACATATAAACCCCTAAACCCTAACGTCTGATGGGAACAGTTGATCCGACCCGACCCGACCCCATTGAGGCATTGAAACCCTACCTGCATAAACAAAATTTGGCATATAAAGCATAAACAATGGTTTGGGCCCCCAAGGCCCAATCCCTTCTCCATGCTGGGCATCAGACTGAAGATAAGTGATCCACTGATCCACTCTGCTGTTTTCTCCATCAATCTTTTCAACATTCCGTATTAGTGCTGGGAGCAGCCAAGGTGGGCATGTGCAGCGTGCAGCGAGGGTCTTTAGTCTTTAGTATGTCGCATATACATAGAAGTGAGAAGATGCCGGCGAAATGTTGGAGTTGGTGTATCTCATAAACCAACTATAATCATGAAAGTCATCCATTTCATGAAAATGATGGATAATAAAGCAATACATTCAAACTGGAGATACTTTTAATTACAGCAATTGTATCAGATGTGGGTCCAACGTTCTAAAGATAGAAACTCTACCCATACACACACAGCTGTAGCCTTTAAAGCACATCGTTACAGTTACACATTGTGGTAACTGGTAAGCTTTCAATTTTCAACTCTCACCTCTCCTCTTAATGACCACTTCTAAGTGCTAACTTACAATTTGTAATAATCTGGGCCGGAATTGTCACTCACACACACTGTTGATCTTTTTGACAACCCATGTCAATTTTCAACCCCCACCTCTCCTTTTTATGCTAGTTGGCTGTTACTAGCATAAAAAAAAAAACCAACACGATACTATTTCTATTCATTTTTGTTATTTGTTAAATTTTTTAGGCTGCGTTTGGAAACAATGCAAATAGAATGTAAATCGTGGTTCAGGGTAAATTTATACTCTGGTTTACTTTTTCCTGTGTTTGGTAACATTATATTTATGCATTGATAAATGATAAACTAATACATATTTACATTGATAATAATATGTAAAAGTACATTAATAAAAAATAAATAAATTTGCATTTAAGTGGGTTTTTAATAAAAAAACATATTTTATTTGAATTCATGTTTACATCAATTACAGTTAAAAGTCTGTTTGGATATGAAGATAAATTTATCAGTGCAAAATTAACCCAATTTTACAATTTATATGAACCCTTTTACCCTCTACATGTTTACATTATTTCTAAACACAACCTTAAGAACAAAGATTCCTGTAGAACTTAGCTTGAAAATAAATTATATAGTCCTAAAAGTTAATTGATTTGGACGATTATACAGATGATCCATTTCACCCCAACAATAATTTATTCAAATCGAACGATCAAATCATTGACCTAAAAACCGATGGTCAAAGCGGTTTCGGTTCCAGAAAGAAAAACCTGCAAACGACAACTCTGGACTCTGTGCCAGTGGGAGAGACAGAGAGGCTGGTGGTCGGGTCGTCACAATTCTCGCAACTCACAACCAAGAGCCATACTTCAGGCGTGGATGGACCTTGGACGTTGGTGGGGGTGGGGGTGGGCAGCTCCCCCTTTTGTCGGTAACCCTCCATTCTCTATGGATTACTTCGTGCATCACGTCCTGGGTATTGTCTCTAAGTGGGCCCCCTCTCAATATTCTATTTGTGTGGTGTAATGTTATCTTTATAACCCAGACTATGGTTAGGTTCAATTGGGCTCCATCAATTCGTGTAGGACTCACTACCAATGGGGCTCTACCGTCTAGTCTACATAGCATTGCAACCGTCCGATTCGATTGACTTTCGACTCAGCTCTCTTAAGTCAAGTGAAAACAATAGATGATGGATGAGAAACATTCACAGCAGTTGTCCATCGTGTGCATGGACGGTGGGTCTTGGCCCACTGTCTTTGACAATTTGTTTGTGCCACGCCCCAAGCCCCAATGTGCCAAGGCCTCTCCTCTCCAACGTCAGCTATTTGTTTGTGTTCCACCCACGTATTTTTTTGCCAGGTGGCAAGATGATGTATATGACGAGTAATTTGCCACATGTATTCCAAAATCCGTTGGAAATCCCTAAAAATCCTATCCCTTCTTAACAACTCCAACTGAAAATGGCAACTCTCATCAGTTATCCTCACCGCTTTCCATGAAAATCTCTCCATTAATCCTCATTAACAAACTAATTGCACTTACCTTCCAAAACCAAAATCCGAGATTTTAACGCTTTCAATTCATCTCTCTCCCACAGACGCGTCTACGGTCAAAACTCCCAAGTCAAGCACAAGCAGAGTGAGAGAGTGAGATAGCAACTTTCTAGTTTCTACTCTTTTACCCACCCGACCCAACCAACCTCTCCTCTAGAAGAACCCTCTCTGCCCTTTTCACCTCCCACAAAGAATATTAGACGTGTGATGGCAACTGTTGACCCGACCCGGCCTCCATCACACCCCACGATTCGGTGGATATTTTGCGACGTTATGGCTTGAATTGGGTTTGTATTGGTATCTGTACCTCCAAGTAAAACCCAGTGGTCCAGCTGACCGGTTTTGGTCCGGGTTTGTCTGGTCATAAATGGGTTGGGTTAGAATCATTTTCCATTTCTTTTCTTCTCTCCATCTCACATAGCATATACGGTTATCACTTATTTGAAAAAAGAAAAATCTTAAATTTGATTGATTTACCAAAACAAAAAAACCTTGTATATAATAAACATATAAAATACCAAATAAAAGCATGTTTTAAAGGAAATACCCGGCATATATTCCAAAACATGTATAAAATCTATATAATATAAATAAAATATTAAAGAATTAATTTTATTATTTTTATATTTTACATGAAGTGAAAAGCAGGTCCAGAGACTCCAGACCAGACCCAGAAGCATACCAAACCAGAATCAAGAAAACAGAAAGGAAAGAGAGAAAGCATCCATGCATGGGCATGCTATGACCGTTGTTGTTGTTGTGGTGGTGGTATTGGTGTTGGTGTTGTAATGCAATTCTTAAGCGCCTTGCTCTCTCTCTCTCCTCTCTCCTCTCTCTACTCTTTTGAAACTTCTCCTTCTCCACGCCGCCTCTCTTCCTGACCTTACCAACAACTCATTCATCCCCTTTGCATTTCATTTAATTTACCAAAACACCCTCAACCTCCATCTCTCCCTTCTTCTGTTCTGGTCTCTGCAAGAGAACAATACAAACCACTGAAAGCTCTTCTCTTAACCATGGTCTCTTCTTCTTTCTAATGTCGGCGCAGTTGTTACTGGTACGTCTCATTGACGTATGCTTCCTTCGCTTCATTGATGATCGGTCTATCTTCGTTTCTGTCGCATTCTCCATATCTGCCCCCATGTTAACTCTTTTTGTTGGACTGTTCTGTTTCTTTTTTTTTTTTTTTTTTTCTGCAGTGGGTTTTTAGATGGTTTTGTGGGTCTTCGTGAAAATCTAGAAAATTTTCAATTTCGGGTTGCGTTTCAGATGATCAGGGTTTTAGGGGTTTTTTGCGCATTCTATGGATTATTTGAATTGAGTTATGATTCTATTGGAGAAATCCGATTTTGGTTTGCTTATCTTTCTACGTTCTTCCCGACGTTGAATTCGAGGTGTGAATCGGCTGATGGAGATGATCGTGGTTGCGAGTTTTTGTTTTGGTTCTTATTTTGAACTGGGTTGTGGGTATTGATGGGTTTTCTTGTGGACTACTTGTTAGTGTTGACTGGATGTCTTGAGGAGTCTCTTATTTTTTTTTTTATTCCTGTTTTGTGTTTGTTAGGAAATTGGATGATGGGTTTGGGAGTACTGGATTTCTGGTGAATAGGTTCAAGGGAAAAGGCCTTTTTTTTTTTCTTTTTTTCCCTATTATAGGCAGTCTTTTTTCTTATCAGACTAATGAGTTGTATTGTTTAGCTGCATTGGATGATAGGTATAGATTAAAGGATTTCCCTTTCTCTTTCTTTGATCAGTAAAGACTTCCTTCTTCATTGATTTCTTTTTTATGGTTCCCTTTTGGTTAAAAGAACAGGAAAGAAGAAAGAAATATTGAATCTTCATCCGTTTCACAATGCGAGTTTTGATTGTTGTAGAAATATTGGACTTACTGATATTGGATTAATCAGATGATGTTTTGATTCAGAATAAGTCTTGTTTTCTTCTTTTAATAATATAATTTGATGGCATATTGCCATGAGTGTTGGTTTCTGACAAATAAAGATTCTGATTGCATTGAAGGGCTCATCCGTGAATCTGCATTGCCAAGTAAAGCTGGCTCTGTTTAGCGACGCAGATCTCTTTCGAACTTCCTCCCACTCACGAAATGGAAGGAGGGACTGATCAGGATTACGACGAATTTGAAATGCTTCTGGGTGAGATACCGAATGCAACATCTGGAAATCCACACTCCGAGGATTCTGGGCGTACAAGTTCCTCGGTAAATATGGAAAGGATCCCTCGGCAAGAGGGGGAAAGGAAGTGCTCTCCATCAGCCTCTTTTACGAACTTCTACAATGCATCCCAAGCCGCAAGCTCTGGCAGCAACTCCACATTTTATGATGGCTTGGCCTTCGAAAGAACCAGTGCCAACTGTGTGAACCCCTCCCAGTGTTCGACAAACCAGAAACTGCAAATTAATGGGAATTTGGATGGAGGGAAAATAATTGTGAAGAGTGCACATCAATCACCTGTCAAAAATGTTGATCAAGATGATTCAAACCTGCCTGATGACCAATCCTTGAATTCAGCATTTGCAGATTTGAGCTTCAAGGATGGTATGGCAGTGGAAGCCCCAACTTCTCAGTTTGTAAAGCATAATACATTACAAAATTGCACCTTTCTACTTGATGGGCAGTACCCAAACTGCCTAAAGAAATCATTATCCAGTTTGGGATCAGGGGCCACAGTTATTCCTACTCCACCTAATGCACCAAGTGGCATGAATGTGGTGAATGGTCTCAATAAGTTAGATATAGGCATGAGTTGCCATGAAAACACAAAGCTCTTAAAACTCAATGTTCAAGAACTAAAGAAACAGAATCCTGGTTCTCACCAGCTGCTTGAAAATTTATCAGGTGACATAGGAGAGCAACTACAGAGCGCCCAAGTATACTCTCCATCCACACCATTAGCAGCTGGGTTGCATGCCTTTCAGGTTGTCCCAAACATTACAGTCCCTGGAGTTGAGTTCCCAGTTACACCTTTTCAACAGCAATGCTTTTTGGATACACAATCTCCTCTTCCTTACATGCAGCCTCAACCATTGAATCAGCCCCACATCACATGGAGGCAGTTGGAGGAAGAAAGGTATTGTAGGATGCATCAACAATACCTTTACTTGCAACAGCTCTGTAATCAGGGATCTGATGGTCAAGTTCCAACTCATGCAAGTAGGAATGCTGCCTTTGGGTCAATGACTAGAGACCCAAGGCGACCATATTTTGAGATTCCAATTTCCCTCCAACTTGAACAAGGTAGTCAAGGTGCAATTTTGAATGGTGCTGTAATCCCAAGGGGACTTGATTCATCGGATCCTACACTGACAGGCACTGGCCCTTGCCGATACTATGCTCAGGGATTCTGTGGGAGGGGTGAAACCTGCCCATTTGCTCATGGCCCGAAGCAGTCTTCCGCCAGCAGTTTAGGATGCCATCCTTCTTCCCTTACTGCCAAGGATTTTGGACCTGTCAAAGTTTTAGACAAGGTTGTGAAGCAGAATTTTCCTGAAAAGATTCTAACAAGGTCACATGGCTTGAACTCAATCAGAACTATCAAGCCTTGCTCTGATGTAGGGAATGAATCACTAAGCCATGGTAACTCTAATGGGAGATTGCTCTTTGATGGCCACTTCCAGTACCATCCATCCATTCTAAATGCAGCATCCTTCCAGCTAGATGGTCGGAATTCCCATGGTTCATCCCCTGACACTGTAAATCCGAGACATATAAATCTGAAGTCACCATCTCAGAAATATAATTCTGTGGATGAGGTCATGGGTAGAATTTATCTCATGGCAAAGGATCAACATGGCTGCCGCTTCTTGCAAAGGAAATTCACAGAGGGCACCAAAGAAGATATTGACAAAATCTTCCTTGAGATAATTGGCCACATTGTTGAGCTAATGACGGATCCTTTTGGCAACTATCTTATCCAGAAGTTACTTGAAGTATGTGATGAAGATCAGAGAATGCAGATACTTCATGCAATTACCAGAAAAGCTGGTGATCTTGTTAGAATATCTTGTGACATGCATGGGTCAGTTTTTTTTTCTCCATCCCTATATCATTTATATCTAATATTTGATTGTTTCTTTTGTTAAATAGCTTCTAGAGTGCACTAAGGCTTTTATTTCCATATTTGTTTCCTTTCCAAACACAGGACTCGTGCAGTTCAGAAGGTGATTGAAACCCTTAATACTCCAGAGCAATTTTCCATGGTTGTTTCCTCATTGAAGCCTGGAATAGTTATGTTGATAAAAAACATGAATGGAAATCATGTTGCTGCACGATGCTTGCAACATTTAATGCCTGAATACTGTGAGGTAAATATTTCATTATTCTTTGTGTCTAATGTCCCTTTTATTTATATAGTTCCAAGTGTTGGCATATAACATATATGTTACACTTGCACAGGTAAGCTTCTTTTTAGTACTTTAAGAGGTATCAATGAGATTTACAATTCTCAGCCAGGAAATGGTGAACCCCTTTAGGGTGAAATGGCGAAACCAGGAGCTTGTTGATTTGGTTATTGCTTACAATAATTGTTATTTATGTGTTTACTTTTATCTCCAAATTGCAGCAATTCCCTTATGTTACCCTGTATAAGTAGCATATTGCTTAGGTGATAAAGGTTCCCTTATAATGCTTTTAGAAACTGCTCCTATGAAATTAAGAATGTAACTCCAGAACTTTTAGGCTAAGAAGTTAAAAAATTAATCATTACCAACTGTCAAGATACTAATGTTTTAAATGCATCAAGCTGTAATTGCTTTGAGTATGATGTCATAGTGGTTGCTTTTGTAATCCTCAGATAACTGATGAACTTGGATATAAATATCAAGCTTGTTGGAAATCAGCTGCTATGTTTATAAACAATCTTAAAGTCAAACAAGTGGTTTATAATTTTAGATAATGCAAATTGCAAATTGTCTATTTTTGTTGAGATGCTAGAACTTTGAGAGTATGACTTTCATCATGTTGTTACTTTGCTTCTTTCATTGTAAATCTCATAAATTATTACTTTGTTTTGTGATAGTTTTAACTTATAAATTTTACTATTCATTTCTGTACCTAATAGACATTTACTGAGAAGGGGAATTTTTTGTGCTGTTCATGTTATTAAGTTTTATACCTGTGATGTAAACCTGGAAAAGCAGAAATAGATCATGAATGAAGGAATAATTTTCTCACTCCCACATCCGGTGACTTATTCTTTTCATTTTGTGAATTTTTCATTATTTGGTCCAATGTTATCTTTGGCTTCAAATTTGATTAGGTTTCAGCTTCGAAAATTTGTTTGTTGGCTTGGTTTGGGTGTCATTAAATAGATATTTCAATAACCTATCTGACATGTTGTAGAAATGAGAGTTTTTCTAGTAGGTTATAAGTTGTTGTGGTTATTTCAGTCTTTAATTTCTGGTGTATTTTGGGGTTGCTTTTGCTTTAGTTTTAGTGGGAATTCTAATAGATACTTATGGTTGATTTATGAATTCAAATAGGTATTAAACAGACTATATAAGTCAGTTTTTGCGTTAGGTTTAGAGACTATAGTGGTTTGAGATATCTTGTGCAATCTCTTCTCTCTTGTCCTCTGTTCTTTCTCTAGTAGTTTATTGTACTCTTATTTGAATAGTTACTGTCTTCTTTTTTCTTCATTCTTACCTTCAAGGTTCAAAATATCGATACACCCGATATGCCAGTAGAGGTGTATCGGTAGTTTTTTTAGTATTTTTTTCAAATCCGGTTCAGAGGGGCCGGTTTAAGGTCTGTCCACCCCTGAACCGATCAAAACCCCGATCAAAATATCGATACACCTTGCTTACCTTTCTTTTAATGTCCTACTGCTAAAATTTTTGTTCAACAATATCTCTAACCATTCTAGCTAGCTAGCCAGGTCTTATTAATATTTTAACTCTCCATTTTAAGACCTAATCCTAAAATCTTCTGCTTAATGTAAGATGTTTTTTTAAGCGCTTAATGTGAGATGGTGTGCAATCAGTTTGGTCATCACTTTTTGTTCTTTTTCGAATTGCTACTACACTCTGAATTAAAATTGTTAAATAATATAGTTCCCTGTAGCACAAATATGCGTTGTTATCAAGAGATGTAATTAAATGATATTTATTTAATTATTTATGGTGGGAGAAAGTAAACTAATATTTGATATTAAAAGTACTCATGACATCATCATGTCTATTCTAGAATTTAAATTTAAAGCAGATATGTTGAAATCCTTGCATGAGAACTCATTGGTGGATTAACGCACAAACACAAAGGTATCCAAGGAAACAGCAGGGATCACTTTTTGTTCCTAATTCTGATAGTCAAAATGTTATAGTGGGTATGGGCCTTTTCTGGGTCCATGATGTGCCTGTTATGGAAATATTATTTTGATTCTATATTTGCCTTGAACTTCAAAATAGGAATTCTATCCTGGTGGGCACTTCATATTAAAAAATTGCCTAACCTACTGATTTAAAAAATAAAAATAAAAGCCCAACCTGAACTGTACCTTGTCATGCAGAGATAACCAAATAACATTTCATGCTTCTCACTAGCATCTGATTTTTATACCAAATCTGTTTTCTAAAGTATATTCTAGAGTACTAGCTATTTTAACATGCTTGAATAAGTTACACTAAGCATTCCAAGTGGTGACAGTAGATATATCCTAACACCTAAGAGCTTGGAATGAAGTAGCAAGCTCCTCCTCTGTGAAAGACAAAATAATAATAGAATGGAAACCCCTCCAAATATTGAAATGAAGCTGAATTTTGATGGAAGCTCCTCGGGAAATCAGGATTGTCATGAATTTTAGGTATATGTGTATTCAAGGATGCAATGGGGAAATGGAGGCCTTGTTCTCTGGTCCATTTGGAGTGGGGACTCCGCAAAAGCTGAAGTGTTAGCCTTGCTCCAAGGAATGAAGATAGCAATGCAATGTGGAGGTTGAGGGAGACTCAAAACTGGTAATCTCTTGGATAAATGACAGCAGCCCAGTTGTGTGGATTCACAGGTACATTATAAGAGAGATCAAGAGCATAGCAAGGGAGTTAGGGACAACATTTAGATGGGTAAAGAGAATAGAAAATGGAATGGCTGACACCTTGGCTAAATATGCAGTGCATAGGGAACAACTATTTTGGAAAAATTTGTGTTGTGGTCTCCAAAATTGTAAAGGGATTCATGTAACAGAAATACATTGTAATGTTTTCTAAATGAAATTAATTGTTGCTGATAAAAAATAAATAAATAAATTACACTAAATGTGCTATCTATCTATTCTAATGTATATTCTGATTCTATTACAGAATATATATTCAAATCTAAATTCTCACTAGAATCTTATTYTAATACAGAAGTAACCAAATCCCCCACTCATTTAATCAGATCTCCATTTACTGTAACTTACTAGAATAAGTTTGAAGCCTTGTTCAGAAACCATCTTATATATATGTTATTGGTTTGCACATATTCAAGAAGGGTCGACATGATTTATTATAATTTCATCAACACATCTTTCATTTTGAAGGATTCCTCAAGCTACATGCTGTATTGAGTTGTGATAATCTGATACCTATACATGCTTAGTATACCGTTATTGGACATGTTACATAGCCATTAAGATGCCTGATACTGCAAAGACACTTCTGGATAGTATTAACACTGCTGATCAATTTGACAGTTTGAGCTAGGTTAGGTATACATGGGCAACTATTAGGTTTTTAATTCTACATCAGCTTACTTATAATCAAGAAAAAAACAAGGAAAATCTGCTACACTTTAGTGGAAGTAAAAAAGGGAACTTCTCCCAAGAAGGGAAAGGAAGTTAACCTAATGAAAGTTTTGCCTCACTTCAACATTATTTGAGCATTATCTCAACTATCCGTGGCTCACTATATAACTCTTCTTCTGCCTTTTTCTCTTTGAAAGGATAGCTCAAAAAGGGAAAATCTGCTACACTTTAGTGGAAGTAAAAAAGGGAACTTCTCCCAAGAAGGGAAAGGAAGTTAACCTAATGAAAGTTCTGCCTCACTTTAACATTATTTGAGCATTATCTCAACTATCTGTGGCTCACTATATAACTCTTCTTCTGCCTTTTTCTCTTTGAAAGGATAGCTCAAAAACTTTCTTTCAGTTGCCATTTTAACACAGTAGGGTTGAGAATGCACTTTTAGGAGGAAAAGGTTGATATTGATGGTAACACCTTTCCATCCTTTGTGCCATTTGTTATTGGAAAAGAGAGTAGAAAATTTAGTTCAGGCAAAGAAACAGGCCCAAAGATCGTATTACATCTTTCTCAATCACACCAATAAGGTCACTAGGGAACTCTTTTGAATTAGTTTATTGTGCTGACTGTTAAATGACATTTGTTTGTCCTTATGATACTTTGTATATTTTGGAGGTGTTCTATAATTTTTTTTGCTATGACATTTGTGTTGTGTAATTCTTCTACAATATTGGTAACAGTCATGTAGTTTGGATTTTGGAATGTTAAACCCATCTCTGATTCTCTTTCATATATGCGGTGCATGGTAATTCAACACAGTGAATGCTTGTAGGTATTACACTTCCAATTTAGAAGATTGCACTGTATTTGTGTATGCATTGTCTTGCAACCTAAATAAAATTATAGAAAATTCTGTTTGTTAGCTTTTTTTGGTCACTTGAAGTTCATGTTTTGCAGTGTTTGATTGATTGCAAAGAAAACCGAAGAAAGAAATCTATGCTATATTCTAAAATGCAGTTTTTCAAATTTTGTGATTTTTTGAATGCAAAAAATATAAATAAATATGGAGCTATTTAAGCTCACCCACATCCAATTCATTTAAATACATATAACATGAGCATCTTTTAAACCAGCCTGTGCATTGCACAAGTCTCTTCTAGTAGAAAATCTAAAAGAAAGTAACTTAGTTTGGCTTACGTGAACGCAAATTAGAAAAGAAAGTTGAGATCAAATATCAACATAAATTTTTGCTTTGATCTCTCTCTTATTTTTCTCTCTTAAAGGCAGAGAGAAAGCAGAGAAAACAAGAGACAAATCTGTCCTAAAAGAAATTTCTTTATTTTGTTTTTTTCTTTTCTCCTATTTTCTTCACAACCAAATACAAACAGGATAGAAACTGGTCAGATAGGAGGTATAGTAATGCATTAAAACTGAAGAGAAGCCATATAGTTTAAATTAAGTCAGTGCTTCTTACTTGCTTTGAAGAGTTTGTTGAGATTAGTAGTTATCGGGTGTTGGATAGTCAGTCCTTTGCTTGGTCCTTAGGTATTTGAGTTTACAAAGGAAAGCCTAGGTCCAATCAACCTAGAGCTTTATAAATATATTGTGAGGTTGCACTTGAGAAAGGGTATTGATATGAATTGATTTGACATTGTATCTTGCTGTGCCTTGCGAGGTACATCTCTATCTCCCCAGGAGTTGGTAATAAACTATTTTCTATCTTCATTTACTTGGAAAGTTTGTGTATATTACTCCTATTCAGTCATGCTTTATGCGGTTCACCTTTATTGAAATGGGGCAAAAAGTCAATAAATTGATAAATTTATGGATCATGTGCTTTGGGTTGTTATTGATATTGAACTGACTTTAGTTTTCAGAGTAGCTAATTTTACTTCATGAATTGGGCCTATGATATACATGTTTACTCATATTTCAGTTTAGATGAATGTTTGATAGCTTGTATCATTGATACTTTTGGCAATATAATTACCAATATAAAAATATTGAGCACATTAATTTTGCAGTTCCTTTTTGAAGCTGCAACTGGCCACTGCGTTGAGCTTGCAACAGATCGTCATGGTTGCTGTGTGCTTCAAAAGTGCCTCGGCCATTCTGATGGAGAACAGAGACGCCGAATGATCTGTGAGATCACTTCTAATGCTCTTTTGCTTTCTCAAGATCCATTTGGGTACTCACTATCCTCCTTTTTTATGTTTCCCTATGTTTAAATATTAATTTAGAAATGGCTGTATTCTTTTTTTTTTCACATGCTTGTTTGTGCTTGTGCAGACGCACATGCATATGTTGTCAAAAAATTCATAGCCATTGAATTCAGTATTTTGGTTCAAATGTTACAGGAATTATGTTGTTCAATATGTATTTGAACTTAGGATGCCATGGGCAACAATGGATGTGCTCAACCAGTTAGAGGGAAACTATGCGTACCTCTCCATGCAGAAATACAGCAGCAATGTTGTTGAGAAATGTCTGAAATATGCAGCAGAAGAGCACAGGCCACAAATAATTCAGGAGCTAATAAATACCTCGCGGTTAGATCAAATCCTGCAGGATCCTTATGGCAATTATGTTATTCAAGCAGCACTTAATCACTCTAAGGTAGAATGTACCCCAAACTCTCATCCATTATTATGTTTATCTCATGATTTTTGTTGGTTAGGACCTGGCTTATTTGTTTCTGTTGGACAGGGGACACTTCATGCTGCTTTGGTGGAGGCTATCAGACCCCATGTGCCGGCACTCCGGACCAGTCCGTATGGGAAGAAAGTCCTCTCATGCAACAATCTGAAGAAGTAAACAATACCATTCTTTGACCAAATTCTTAGAATAACTTTTCCCCAAACAAATGGGTCTCACAAATCTCTTGGGCAGAGCAGATAGAGTTACTGTAAAGAATGTAGACTTTGCCATTACAGAGGATCGGTGTAAACAGTGTAATAAATAGGAAAGGGAGAAACTTTTGAAGTTAGACTTTTTGATACTTGAGTTGTCAAATTTGCTGGGACTTGTGAGAGAAAAGTTCCACAGATGCCTTGTACAGCCTGCCGGAACAGATGAAGGCAATTTTGCGTGATAGTAGATCTGCATGTTAGTGGACTGAGATTTATGCTTTAAAATAAAAGAAAATTCAAAGAAAGTAGAATTTTTCTTTTTTAAGCTCACAGGGGAGTGTACTGCTGCTATTGTGCTTCAATTAAACTGTTTTTTTGGGGGGGTTAACTTGAAAACCTTTTTATCTTTGTACTAAATACATATTTGGTAATGTATTTGGCTTCTATACTCTCCTTGTAATGCTCATCTTTTTGTTCAGATATGATGTGTAAAGCACCCTTGAATCTCTTTGTTGAATACATATAGCCCATATTTAGTAACTTTACTGGCCAGAGGCATATCTTATCGTTAGTTTTGTAGGTGAAATTTTCACCCCATCAAAGAAGAGGCCCACTTCAGTTGATGTGGACCATCATGTTCTTGGTCCATCCAATCCCAAAGGCAAGTGCGTTGATCTCCATGTCCATCATGGTGTGGTAATGGTAATTACAATGAAAGTAGCCAAACACGTTTACAAACTAGAAATTCTCAAAGAAAGAAGAAAATGATTGTAATTTGTAAGGTTTGGAAAGAGAGAGAGAGAGAGAGAGAGAGAGAGAGCATGTGAAGATAATAAGATGAAATTGGAAAAAAAAAATAATGGAACTGAAGTGAAATATTATAATAAAATTTAAAATAAAAAACATCAATGGAATTGGAAAAATTCTTGGAATTCCATATTTTTAACCATCATTTGCATCTTCTGATGTTCCATTGGATGAAGTATCATGTCCTCCACGGTCCTGTAATCTATCTTCTGCATCTAATCAATCTTTGAGATATGTACACATTTTTAGAGTTTCATTTGTCATACGGCTTTTCTTATCATCTAATACCTTGTAACCAATGCTAAAACAAGACTCCAGTGTAACTGTGAACACCGGAGGGGTTAGTAGATTGCATGCCATGGAGGCAAGTACAGGATAATTATGTTCATGTTCTTTCCACCAGGCTAAAAGATTTAAATTTTCAAATTTCTCATGTGTGAGAAAGCGTGTGAAATCATTTTGCAAATAAAAATAAAGTTCATTAAATGAACTTGAAGAAGAGCTGGCAACTGATTTTTGCCTTTTTATTAAGGACCATACCTTATCTGATGAAGAAATACTTTTACAACGAGATGGTAGCATTGGATATGTCTTTTTCTTTCTATATTTTGATTCATATAAATTATACATTTGGAATAATAAAGAATTGATTTCATCTTTTTTTCTTTCGGCATTAATTTGCATATTTTCATGGTAAGAATCAAGTATAACATTTACACCTTCTTGTTTAATCCTAGGGTCTAATATTGTAGATAGACAATATAGAGGAGAAATATTTCCTCAATATTTTTTAAATTTATTTTCTATTATTTTAAGAATATTTTGAAAATACAATTCATCTCTACGTTTTGAAAAACAGCAACTAGTTATATATAATTGTTCAAGTAATATACAAGAAGTTGGATTATAAACACATGAAAAAGCATTGGTAGCATCATAAAAATTTTCTAGAATTCCTATTATGCAAATGACAACCTTCCAATCATCATCAGTTATTATGTCATGGGGCATTCTTTCATTATAAAACATGGTGAGGACTTCCATATATGGGATGCAACTTTGTGACATGTAATAGGTAGAATTCCATCTATGTTGAATATCTAACATAAGTTTTTTATATTGTTTTCCATGTTGAAGACATAAATTTTTAAAATCTTGTTTTCTTGAACTAGAAGATTGTATATATAAAATACAATTTCTAATTTTTGAAATATGTGTTGAAATAATATTTAATCCATCTTGAACACATAAATTTAAAATGACATTCACATTTAATATTAAACAAATTTCCTTCAAAAATAGGTTTTAATTTAGATTTTAAAATATCTACAACAACATCATTATTGCTGGCATTATCAAAATTAGTAGAAAGAATTTTATTTTCAATACTATGAGTATGTATAGTATTTAAAATAGCACTAGAAATTGATGAACTAGTATATGGCCATTCAAGTTCTTTAAAACTTAAAATTCTTTTTTGTAATTGCCATGAATCATCAATGAAATGCCCTGTGACACAAATATAACTAACACTATATTCGGATGTCCAAATTGTTGATGTTAGTGAAACTTTAGAAGTAAGAGTTGAAAAGGTAGAAATTAAATTTTGTTTATATGAAAGAAAAATTTTATATGCATCCATTCTTAGCAAGTGTTTGTCTCATTTTTCTAGGTGAACATTGAAAATTACTAAATATTGGTAAGCTATTAACAATATCATTGCTATCATTTTGGGTATGAGAGTATGCATCATGAAAGCTATGCCCATAGGGAAAGGGTGTTTGGGAAGAACCAGCCATATTAATAAATCTAAAATATTAAAACACTAAAAATTAAAAAAAAATAATTACCCCTTATCCGTTTGTATGCTCCAATATCTGAACTTGATTTCAATAGATAAAGTCTCTTAGCCCCCCAACTTGAGGCATTTGAACAAACCTTGTAGAAAGGAAGTTGAGAACTTGAAAATTGAGATGATTATAAAGATTAGATAAGGGAGATTGATTGTAATAAGAGAGTTATGAGAAAATATGAGATTGATTGGTGTTGTGATAAAAATGAGCCAAGGTAAGGTTATTTATAGGAGTTTAAAAGTATTGAAAAAACCAAAATTTTTAGTTGTTTATAGTTGTTGGAAAGGGTATTTTGGGCTCTTCAAAACTTTTATAGTTTTTTTATCACTTGACCAAAGTATCCCCAAAACTAGCTGTTTATAGTTGTTGGTGGGGGCATTTTGAGGATTTAGGACCCCTCATGGTTAAATACAAAAATGCCCCCCTCAAACTAGCTGTTTATAACTGTTAGAGGGGGCAATCAAGTCACTTATGGCCCTGGGCCAAAATAGCCGTTGGAAGGGGGAAGGGGCCGTTGGCAGCCCGGCCGGTTTTACACCATGTCTACAGCTTTTTACATATCCATTGCCAAGAACAAACCCTTCAAGCGGAATCCATGTCTGAGCTTTCCTTCAAAGCACTATGTGTACAAGTATTACTCATTTTTCTGACTTGTCAATCAGCGCATCTAATACCCAACCCAGTTCACCAAGCCATCGATTATAGTCGCGAAAGCATCTGCAAGTGGAAGCACAGAAGAACAGTACGAAGAGTATGAAGTTGAACTGAAGCAGCTTTACGGGTTGAAGTTTACCAAGGGCCGGGATATTGATGCAATTGCTCCAGGTCAAAATAGTCATTGGGGAGAAAAGTACTTGCCACCATTATATTTGTTTCTGAATTTGCAATGGCCCCAATAACTTGTTTCCTTAGTTTCTCTTGGCATTTTTTCGAATATCTGTAGTTTGACATGTATTGTCAAATAAATATTTTAGCAAGTGATGTGGGGTGACCCAACCCAGTCCATTCGAGGCTGGGAGGCCCAGCCCACGAGCGCCTGACCTGGGAACGAGATTCGTTATAGCAGAAGTTATTATGTTATCCTCGTCCGAAGTCAATCGCGGAGCGCCCATGCGTCCCCGCAGAGCTCTCTGACTGTCCTCGTACGACACCCATCTCAGGCGTTCATCTCCACCTACCTCCAAGCAGCTCAAGTATAAATAGAGGGTGCTCCCTTCCAAGTAAAGGGAGGAGTCTAACACAATCGACACCTGGATTTGGAATTGGTCTCAAAACTATATTCTAGTTCCCCTCTTCGTACCCCGTACTAACTTGACCGTCGGAGACTGCCTCGGGTTCTCACCCGAGGCCTCTGACGTATTCTGTCTTGCAGTACCTCGGCCACCTACCTTTGGTTTCCACAGTACTTGGAGCCTCCTCCGCCTCGGCCTGCATACCTCAGCCTCGCCCGCAACCTCTCCGAACCCTCAAAGCCTTTGACCAGCCTCAGGAGCCTAGGGACGGAATTACCTTATTGTCCTCGACCAATCCGAGCCCCAACAATTGGCGTCGTCTGTGGGAAGCATCGCTAGGAGATTCCCTAAGAGAACTTTAACAAGCTAGTAAGTCCTCAAGTTCCAACCAACCAACATGGTATGAAGAACAAGAAATACACAAAACCTTGTCACCATTGAACAGTTTTAGGCCGTGCTCGACCGCCTGGAGTACTTGACCCAGCGAGTTGAGCAGAAATAACCCCAGGCAGGAGGTCGCCCCCAGGGTGACCGCCCCGCCGGGGAGTCAACACAGTCGGGCCGGCATGGGTCCGCTAGCTAATCGGTCCCCAGCCTCGGCCATGTGCAGTGGGCCGAGCCCTTAGAGTCTAGTAGCAGTCGTCCAACCGACCCGCTCTTCCGAACCACCAGACCTCCCAACCGAAGGGAGGACAACTCCAGACCTTCTAGCTGAAGGGAGTAGCACCACCAACACCAAAGGGCCAATCCGAGGGATGAAGGCGGATGCCACGATCGCCCCAACACCCACTCCACGGCCGTGGGCCAGCGTCGAGCCTCTTCCCCTCATGTCAGACCTCCGGGACGTCTTGAACGACCGTCGCGCTAAGCGCGAAGCATGTGGTCTCAAGTCCGAGCATTCCAGAGTCCGTGCCGAGCACCATCATGTCCGTGAAGATCGGGATGATGCGCAGGCCAAGCCCGACCCCATGTTTGCCAAACTCCGAGTCGAGCTCGGTGCTGTCAAAACCGAGCTCTGGAAAGTTAAGGAGGGCCAAACTGACACCTCGGCCGGACAGAGCAATTCCCTTGGGAGAATGGGTGCCTTCTCCCCTGGCATCATCGCCGAGCCTCTACCTCCAAACTTCAAAGCTCCCACCTTGGAGATGTACGACGGGAACACTGACTTGGACGACCACTTGGAGAGCTTCAGGGCGTTCATTATCCTGTATGGATATTCCGACGCCTTGACGTGTCGGAATTTCCAGGCGACCTTCAAGGGAGCCGCTCAACGGTGGTTTTCAAGCCTCTCACCTCGATCCATCAACTCGTCAGAGCAGTTTTCTAGCATGTTTCTCGCACGCGAACTCGAGATCTGCGACCTCAACCCCGTGGTCTCCATGCATGCTGCCATCAGTGGACTCCTCACCGGCTCAGCCCTCAAATGCTTCGTTGCCAAAAGCCAACAAAAGACGAAGTTGGAGTTCCTAGCAAGGGCCCATAAATATATTGTCGTCGAAGAGGCTTCGGCTACGGATGCCCATGAGAGAGGCATAGAGCATTGGGACAGATCCTCC